CAAAGGATGGTTTGATAATTTTAGAAAGAGGTTTAGCCTAAAAAAATAAAAAGTCAAAATTAACAGAAGCAGCTTCTGCTGACTAAGAGGCAGCAGACAAGTTTCTAGATTGGAATTAGGAAATTCATTGAGAAAGGAGATCTGCCTGAATAGGTTTTTAATGTAGATGAAAGTGCCCTATTCTGGGGTGTGGGGTGGGAAGGGAAATACTACAAAGGGTATTTATTAGTATGGAAGAGAAGGGAGTACCAGGATTTGAGGCAGGAAGGGATAGGCTAACTCTATTGTCAGGTTTATGCTCAGGATTGCCCTTATCTATCAAGCTGCTAACCCTGGAGCCTTGAAAGGAAAAGGTAAACACCAGCTGCCAGTCTTACAGGTCCCTATGACTTCCTGATCTAGAGGCTGAATTAGAGATGTTGTGTTTGGGAGCAAGTAGACCACTTTGGCTCCTTCACTGTTGCACTCATGCAGTTCTGGGTGGCCAGGGGCATTTTCCAATATCAAAAGAATCTTGAAAGGCAGTCCCTTACTGATAAGGTACTTCCTCGCTTTAGGGACAAAGCATCAATAGAACCAATAGAACAACACAGTATTCTACAAAAAGGATTGTCAGCTGTGGAAGAGAACCCCAATAGAGAGAACATCATGAAAGTCTGGAAGGATTACAGCAATGAAATTGCCATCATTGTTATAGAAAAAAGGCGTGAAGGTCATCAAGCCCAAAACAACAAATGCCTGCTGGAGAAAACTGTGTCCCGATGTTCTGCATGTCTTCACAGGATTTATGACAGAGCCAATCAAAAAAAATCATAAAAGAGATTGCGGATATGGCAAAAAAAAAAAAAAAAGGTTGTGGGAGAGGGTGAAGGGTTTCAAGATACGGATCTGCAAGAAATTCAAGAGCTAACAGACACCACACCAGAGAAATTAACAGAAAACAACTTGATGGAGATGAGTGCTTTTGAACCAGTTCCAGACGATGAGAAAGTAGAAGAAGCATAAGCAGCAGTGCCAGAAAACAAATTAACTTTAGACAATTTGGCAGAAGAGTTCCAATTATTCAAGACTGCTTTTGACTTCTTGGACCCTTCTATGATACCAGCACTGAAACTAAAGCAAATGGTGGAATGATTGTTACTATATAGAAACATTTTTAGAGAAATTAAAAGGCAAAAAAGTCAGACAAAAATTACAATGTATTTTTGTAAAGTTACCCCAAGTGTGCCTGCCTCTCCCGCTTCCCCTTCCACTTTGTCTACCTCTTCCACCATTGCCGCTCCTGATATAGCAAGACCAATCCCTCCCTCTACTTCTTCTTCCTCTTCAGCCTACTCAACATGAAGACAAAGAGGATGAAGATCTTCATGATGATTCACTTCCACTTAAAGAATAGTTAATATATTTTCTCTTCCTTGTGGTTTTCTTAGTAACATTTTCTTTTCTCTAGCTCACTTTATTATAAGAATACAGTATATAATACATATAACATACAAAATGTGTTAATCAACTGCTTTTGTTATTGGTAAGACTTCTGGTCAACAGCAGGCTATTAGTAGTTAAGTTTTGGGGAAGTCAAAAGTTACATGGATTTTCAACTGCTCGGGGATTGGCACCCCTAATCTCTGTGTTGTTCAAGGGTCAACTGTAATTACCAGGAGCTTTCTCTATAATCAACACTAAAAAGGGAACTACTAATACAGTCCATTCAAATCAGCAAATAACAAAAATCCTTTATCTTCAGTTGTGAAGCATATTATTTGTATTTTTGGCAACATTTATTTTCCTAATTGTATTTTGTTTAAGCTAATATTAAAATTAGTTTGCATTCTTTGAGAACTGGCAACAGCAGCAAGTGGTGCCAGACAATAGGGATAAGCTGGTTTAGCAATAAAAATGTGATTGCAATAGTACGCAGAGTATACAAAATAAAATATTGGTATGTAACAGGATCCCATCAAAGCATACTACAGTATGCAAAAAGAACAGAAAAAGAGATTGACTTTTTTTGTAATTCCCTGAAAGGAAGTCTAAGAGGAATAAACTAAATTTCTGATAGAAAATAACAAAACAAATACTTGATCCAGTGCCAAATAAATATGGGATTCATTTACTATAAATGCAAGGACATTTTGAAGAAATTCATAATGGATTTAAATAATGGAGGCCCTTTATTAATTATCTCCCACATTTCTAAACCACTTAAAAATTAATCCAACAGTGACCAGTAAAACGCATTGATACCAAAATGATAAATTTCGTTTTTTCCCCTCTCAATCACAAAGTTGAATTTCTAGATGTTCTAAATATCCTGTGTTGAGTGAAAAGTTATTGTTTTGGCCAAAAGTAAAGGAGATGTTTTGATTTTGGTAGAGGAAGGAGTTGAGAAAGAATGGGATCTGCCATGATGCTGGAGTCAACCTTTTCTGAAGGACAATAATGAGTCTGTGAGAAGAAACCTCTTATGTAACTAGATTAGTTTATTTTTATTTCTGAGACATGAGAAACATTCCTTTATTCATTAGCCTCTTATTTTCTCAAACTGATATATATAATTTTATTTTTCTCAAGTAACCTGAATAAAAAATTAACCCTAAAGCTGCATGTCCCAGTTGCTATATCTAAAAGACTTAGAAAAAAGAAGAGTTTGTTTAATACTGAACACAAAGGTCAAATGATCTAAAGAAGAATTCTGAAAAAAGCAATCGAATATGACTTTAGATCAGTAGGTTTTACTACAAAAATCTAAATTCAAAATGATATCTACATATTCTAAAAACTACTGGAAAACAAAAGAATGTCATCTGATACTTTGGAATGCTGTCTATAAAACTTAATTGTATAATTAATTTGGCAAGGTATATCCCCATAAGATTAAGGCTGATTGTATGGTATGAAAGTAAGAGTCTAACTTTAAGCTAGTTAATTCTTCCCCAGATCAGGAGAACACTGATTCTCGAAAAACCCAGGATTTTGATTACTACAATACTGGTCTGTTATAGAATTTGACTTATACCTAGTTTTGTAAAATCATATGTGCTAGCAGTTACATTTATATTCTTTCTTTTTCTTTCTTACGTGGAAATCAATGACTGCTTAAAAAAAAATCTTATTAGGTTCTAAATGAGATGTTTGACTTCAAGAGTTTACTTAGCTTAAAGTAAATGAATTAAACTTGCTTCCATGTGGGTTAAGCTATACTTGAGAGTTGCCAACGACACAATTATTTTAACATGTCATTCTAACTAGAATCACAATAACAGTGATTTTTAATTTTATGAAGAGAATTTGTTCTGATAAAACTGAAGAATCAGATATTACATTTCTGCAAAAATATCACATGTTTGCAAATGAAGAGTTCCAGCAGAGATCTAATCAGTGAAGAGGAAATTCTTATTAATATATATTTACATATAAGAGTTATGCAAACAAAGAATTCACCTCCAATGCAGTCAAATAATAGCTGTCCTCCATAATGACTGGGTAAATATATGGTAAACGGACTGCAGGATTTGCTCACTTACCTTATATAGAATTTGTTCCATAGCTATTCACTGTTAGTAAGACCTCTATCATTTTTATTCTATTCTGGGACTGCTCTGGGAGTCTAGGTTACTTCTTACCTGCTTTGACAGTTCTTCAAGTGGAAGCCCAAATCCAGACATTCTAAGAATGAATTAGTTTCCAAGGAATTCTGAAAACAGCAATCTTTGTAGGGCTTCTACTTTAGGAGCAGACACAGGATCATACTTTGAGAGTAATAAGCTTCCCTAGAACCTTGTTTCCTAATGGCGGGGGCTTACATCCTGCCTCCAAGGATAAAAATCCTCCTTCAGTTTCTTTACCAAATGTCTCCTTAGCCCCTTTTCTACAGATTGTTATACTGCTAAGGGGAATAGCATTGTCTAATCACCTATTAGCTTGTTCTGATCATTTCTTTTGACCCTTGAACAACACAGAGGTTAGGGTTGCTGACCCCCCTATGAAATAAAAAATGTGTATAACTTTTGACTCCTTCAAAAACTTACAATTAATAGCCTACTTAACTACTAATAGCCTGTTGACCAGAAGCCTTATTGATAATAGTCAATTAACACATATTTTGTATATGTATTATATACTATATTCTTATAATAAAGTAAGCTAGAGAAAAGAAAATATTATTAAGAAAATGATAGAGAAGAGAAATAAATTTACTATTCTTTAAGTGGAAGTAAATCATCATAAAGGTCTTCATCCTCATCATCTTCACATTGAGTAGTCTGAGAAGGAGAAGGAAGGGAAAGGAGGGGTTTGTCTTTGGGTGGAAGTGGAAGGGGACACAGAAGAGGCAGGCACATTCCATGTAACTTTTATTGAAAAAAATCCACATATAAGTGGACATGTGCAATTCAAACCTGTGTTGTTCAGGGGTCAACTGTACTTCTAAAATTGTAGATAAAAAGGGAGCGGAAACTTGATACAATGGCCAGTTCATCTGTTATGATCTCTACATCTTATTATATATGATTTCTTGATTATTTTCTTAATATGTAACTTTTACTCATGTGTATTGAATAGATTATCTAGGAATACTTCCAGGTTGCCTTCTGTTTTGCCATCCAGCAGAGTTCTGAACCATCTTCTAACCCTTATCAGTTGGTATAGTCATGGAATTCTATTTACCTAAACAAAACATTTCAGTTGACATAGTCACGGAATTCCTATTTACCTAAACAAAATATGATTTCCAAGAAAATACATTGAAATGTATTCATAAAATATTTCTCAATCCCAGGGAAACATGATATGTTCCAAACCACTCTTTTAAAATTCTTTTCTTTGCTTTTTGGGCCATATTACATTATTTGTTTAATCAACGATTTCTTAAAGTTCTAGTAAGACAAAATGATGAACACTGAATCCTTCTGCCCTTAATTATTTGCATAATTGGGAATACCCCAACCCTAAAATTGCCCTATAAAAAAATTCTTGAAGAAAATGTGTTCTCTCTTCAATACCTTATTGTCAGTCCTAATCGTGACTTTCAGTTGTGGTAGTACACGTTCTACTTCTAGACTCCATTCTGCAGCATCTGTTGTGGATTCCAAAATATCTTCTTGTTTGGCAGACTCGTTCATATCCTAAGAAAGGAAAGATTTCACAAGATTGAGAGTTTATAAAAAGAAATGGTAAAATTTTGAGGCATGTTAGCAGCATTGCACAATTTAAATCAAGGATTGGTAGTGTTAAAATTATAGTGGAAGAAAAAAATTTTTTTCTGTTCTCCTACTAATGTTGAAAGAAAATAATGCACTAACCTGGTAGAATAGCAAAATAAGTATTAAAAAAAGAAGCAAATACATGATTCAACTGTTTTTACAAAGCAAAAGTTTTTGAGATATCACATTGAACTCAATGGTAATACTATCAAGTGGACAAGCCATTTATGTATATTAATTGGTAACAGCCGAAGAGATATGATCACTCACTCATTTTTGATTAAAAAATAATTGTTTTAGTTTGAAATTATTATACTGAAAAATAAACACAAAATCTGAAAGACAAAGAATATAAAATCCCAGAAGCAAATGATTCATTATTTACAAATTTTGTATTCATAATAAAAATGATAATTTAGTTAGGTCAAACTATAATGTCCTCAAAAAATGTGATTTAATATAGACATGCTTGAACTTGAATAGGATGGGGGCCAAAGCTCTGCCCTTGAATAATAAAATCAATTCATGACTGTTTTGAATCTCACACACAAACACAAGAATCCTTTTTATGTTTTCCCAGACTTTCACATTTCACCATTAAGTATATTTGCATTTGAAAATGTAATGAATGTAAAAATTAATGATTTAAAGATAAAATCTAAGACATTAATTTTGGTAGCAATTTTTCTCTTTAAACTCCCTTGATAAATTATAAGCAAATCTAAAGAAAAAAATACAAATATCTAGATAGGAAAAAAAGAGACCAAAGAGACAAACAGCCAAATGCAATGCATGAACCTTATACGAATTCTAATTTGAATAATCTGTAAAAAGACATTTTTGAGACAATCAGGAAAATTTCAACATAGGAAGAATTTGGTAATATTAATAAATTATTATTAATTTTGTAGGTATGATATAGCATGGTAGTTATGTTTAAAAAGGCCGTGTAAGTTAGAGAGCAATGCTAAAATATTTACAAGCAAATTGATAGGATCTAAAATTTACTTTAAAATGCTATGAGGCAAAGAACTAAAGGGGGTGGTTTCCGATAAACCATGATTGACAAAATATTAATAACTGTTGAAAGTGGTAATGTTGTGTAACTGTTATCTTTTTCTAATTTTGTATATGTTTGAAATGTTCCATGATACAAACTTAAAAATAGAAGACTGGGTAAATAACCTCATAGTGAGGTTCACATTGTTAATGTGAATTTATGTCACTAAAAGACATTTCTTAAATAAAAGCTCATTAGATTTGTCTTTCCAATTCAGTCTACCATTAAGTAGAAGATTAACCTTATGTTGGGGTTTGTATATTTGTGGGAGCTTGAGGTATTTAGGGGCTTTGAACTCACTTCCAACTGAGACTCAGGGGCAATGCTAACATAATAAAGCCTCTCCTCCTAACCTCCTAGCTCATGGTAGTAAGTCCTGAATAGACTCAGAGCCTTAAAAAAAAGATGTATTGCTTTTGGGACAGAAATTCAGGGGACTATATATTTCTAACCTCACTATTTGAGTATGGATAACTAATATATGCCTTTATACTTTATAGCATGTGGTTTGGATTTATTTGGTTACATTCCATTTAAAAAAACAGAAGTATAAAAAAAGTATAAGCATTAAATAAAATGTAGAAAATCTAAGTGAAAAAAGCTCAAGATTCTATTTTAGACATTAAAGCTCTCATTTAAATATAGAAACATTATTATTTTGAGTACCTAATAGAATGCTATATATACTTCTATACAAATTGAATACAGTGTAGTGCAAGAATATCATAGCTAGCGAGGAGGGTGCAGCATTCACAAAGTAGACATATATGAAGTTATATGAGAATATGTGATGATAAGAAAAGGGATAGCAAGTCTCTGTGTTGAAACCTAAAGCAATGGGGAAGGTTCTCTGCCATGCAAATTCACACTGACATCAATAACATGCTTATGCTTAGAAGAGCCTGGCATGTGTGCATTCACTGGCACATCTGGGTACCTGTGCTAGGCTCTAGGAGGCCTGATTCTGACTGGTTAATTTTCTATACCAAACAAGGTAGACCATTGGGGCCAGGGAGGATGTATGCCCTGCTACTGCTATGTGAGCCCTGACATTTGGAGCATATGTGTGGCTATACACACAGCCTTGCTCCTGCCAGGGTTATGGGCCCTACATCTCAGTCCCACAGAGTCAGGCTAAACCAAAAGGGCATGTGCTTTCAGCAGCAGTTTTGCATGATTCTTAATAGAATGTAGATACATTGGTCATTGATTTAAAAATAAATTAGATTTATGGAGCCACTGTTTGGGCAAATTGAAGCTGGCTGCTGTTGATTAAATCCCAGAGCCAGTGCCCTCCCCAACCTAATCCCCTCATTTCCACCCTTCCCTCTGCCCCTCCTTACAAGAGGGTGAAGTCCAGGATCACCAAACAAGTCCAGAAGGGGAAGCCCACTCACATTCCCACTTTTTTCAGGTCTGAATATAGGATTGTGCAAATTGTGAATAACGTATTTATATTTTCTTACTCAAGGAAGGGCATGCTTTTCTAATTTTCACAAAGGCAAATGGTTTTGCAGTGGCCTTGTTAGAACTAGACCCAGAATCTGAGTTAGCAGGTATATGAAGATCAAACACTGCATTTAGTTATCCCATTACATAAGCTATTTGTCTTTATACTGGACCCTTTAGTAAGTTGCGTTTACTGTTACTAGCTTATTATTTGGTTCCCTTAAGCAATGATTTGCTAACTCCTACTCACAATGTCCTAAAATGATTTAATGTAGGAGCTCAAAAATTTTTACTCACTCCTAGGCCATAATTAATATACTGGGGGAAATGGCCTAGTTACTAAATGAAGAAAGGGTAAAAAGAGAACATTAAGTTTGGCAGACCAGCATTAACTTATTCAACTACAGTTTCTTTCTACTTCCATATTTGCAGATGAATTTCATAACCTCATTCCTCACTCAAAATTCCTTAATGCCTTAATAACTGGATACATTAACTGAGCAAGTCCTACATATGAAGTATAAATCATTTAAAAACTCTATACTATGCCTTAGTTTGCTTTGAGAAAACCTTTTGTTTCTCCATTTAACAAATGGCATTTTATGTGTGGCTATTTGTAAAGATATATAAACTGATGTTTTTGCTTAAAATTTTATATCATTATGATGAAGTCTCTCTTTGAAACTTTAGAACTAAGATAAAGCATAGCTCTTGGGAAATTGCATTTTCCAGTCACTGCTGCTGAAGAAACAATTTAGAAGCTCAGTAAGGCACAAGTTTTCTAGAAGTCTTATTTATAATTAATTAATTTAACCAATAAACCATTTGTTAAGCTCCTACGACATTCAAGGTAAGAATCTGTGCTCAGTGTGGAAATATAAAAGGATTTAATCCCTGCCTGCAAAGAGTTTACAGTTTATTAGGAAGAGTTTGAGGCCAGTTAATGGGAGCAATAATTGGTCTTTGGTAAAAGGAGAAACTGATGAGATGAAAACAGATCCTAAGAATGCCAAAGGAAGAACTGAAGATAACAGTCTAAACCAACCCATAAAGTAACCTTGGGCTCAAATTGTGTGGTACAACATCCATGTCAGTTCAAGAAGCAAACACAAATGTTAATAGCCTGCTCAAAATCCTGTTCCAAGAGATAATCTTTCCTCCTGGGTAATATTAATAGAATGGTTAAGCATCTCAAGAAAGACTATATTCCATAAATATATATATTTTATGTATATGGTTGAGATGGCAACCTCATGTATATATCAGTGCCCAAATTCATTTGAAGAGCTCAATTCATATACCTACTGAGATAAAAGTCCAATTAACTGTCAAGATTAAATAGTTTCAAAACTCAAGGAATGGGGGACTATTAATAAATTGTCTTTAAGAGTCACAACAGTATGGTGTCAATGTTAGAGGATGGGTCTAGAATCTCATCTTGGCTTAAATCCCACTTCCATCATTTAGTAGCAGTTGGTTAAATTACTTAATCCCTCTAAATCTCACAGTCCCCATCTGTACAATGAAAATAATAACAGTACCTTCCTTATTGGAAGGGTATCTGTGAGCATTAAATAAGATGATGTATTTAAAAGGCTCATACGGTGCATGATACATATTAACACCCAATATATTTCAGCAGTTATTGTCATTATTATATGCCAAATATGATATTAGATGCTTTCCCATATAACACCATCAAACCAGGAGTCTTTTCATTTTTTAAAATGAGGAAACTGAGGTAACTTTTCTAATGCCACATCCAGTAAGCAGCAGGTCCATGCAGTTACTCTAAGGTACATGCTCTAAAACATTTTACACTGTATGTCTATCAACCCTTTGTCTGTCATATAGGTTACAACTATTTTTCTCTAGTTTATCACTTGTCTTTTAAGTTTATGATGTTTCCCACCACACCTTCTTATAATATAGTTTTAATTTTTATACACAGATTAGTATTTTTATTTTATGTTCCTGGTTTTCTTGTCATACTTTGTCATGCCTACTTCAACCCATAACACTTGTCATGCATGTTTTCTGTTATTTTTTTGTGCCTAATTTTTTAAAAATTGTTTATCCATGTGTTGTTTATTTGGGGGTAATATATGAGGGAGAAATCCTGCTTTATAGTCTATTATCTCATCACTGTTTAATTAAATAGTTCAGTTTTCCCCACTGATTTGCATTGCTATATATGCTAATATCACCACATATTTGGATTATTTTAGGGATTTTGCACTACTTCATCAATCTATTTCAGTGTCAGTATCATACCTTTTTCGGGTTTCCAAAAAATTACACCAATATCACATGAAGAATTCCCATATACCCTTCATTCAGATTCTGTTAACATCTTATATAACCTCAGGGTGATTATGAATAAAAGGATACAGTGTTTATTCCTGGATGCTGA